TTATAGCTTATTGTATGTATATTCTACAGGTCCCGTACGTTTTCGCTCTGTCTTGGATATTTCAACACACAGTGGCACTGCTATAACTGCTACAACACATGTGCACACACTCAGAAGTCAGATGTGTGAGGTTCTGAAGGTCAATGGTCCAACCTCCTTCAACCACACTGCACTCATCACGTGAGTCAAGTCAAAGTTTATTTACCTGTATATAATACAGTAATACTATAAACCCTTTTACTCTAACAAGGAAAAATGGAAGAAACCTCAGAAAGAACCACAGTGGAGGGATCTGTCTCCCACGACATCCAATAGATGTTGCATATACAGACCAACATTATATACAAATTACAATGACAACATTTCTGATACATGTAAAATGTTTGTGAAGAATGTGGATCCAGGAGGACATTGGGCAACTTCAGATGTTGCCAAGTGGGACCTGAGCCATACGACCTCTCCACCATGATGACCTGGAAGAGGACAGGCCACGCAAAGAAATAAATGAAGAGAGAGCTAGAAAGAGAGAGGAAGATAAACTCTCACAGCTTGGAGGATATTGGAACAGAAACAAAAACAGAGGTTAGGACTAGACTAAGTACGAGGGTTAGGAGATTCATTGAGATTGAGACCAACCCACCAAAAGGATAAAGTGATCAGGTTCGAGGCCAGAAGTAATCTGAGAGTAAACACTCATTGAAAGCGAACAAATGAGTTTTAAGTTTGGATTTACAGGCCTCAATGGAGTCAGATTGTCTGATGTCAGCAGGGAGGTTATTGCAGAAGAAAGGGGCATGAAAGGAAAAGGCCCTGCAGCCAGATGACTTCTTTTTGACTCTGGAGACAGACAGGAGCCCAGTATTCTGAGAGCAGAGAGCACGGGATGGGACATACAGTTTAATGAGATCAGAGAGATAAGAAGGGGTGAGCCCATTTACAGTTTTGGAAGTCATCAGACATACTTTAAAGTCTGATATGAGGTCAATGAAGTGAAGCGCTGATTGAAGGCGGCTGTAGCTTAGGAGGTAGAGCGTGTCGTCCACTAATAAGAAGGCTGGGGGTTCGATCTCTTGCTGCAAGTGTCCTTGAACAAGATATGAGCCCCAGATTGCTCCCAATGCTGTGCATCAGTGTGTGAATATGAATGGATTAGTTTCTGTTTGTGATGAGCGGTTGAAATCACTGTATAAATGTGTGTGAATAGGTGAATATGGCATGTAGTGTAAAAGCGCATTAAGTGGTTGGAGGACTAGAAAGGTGCTATACAAGTAAAGTCTATTTACCATGCGTAGTATGATAACATTTTCTGATTTTAGTCAAGACTATAGCTCACTTTTAGTGCTAGCATGCAAAAGACCAGAAAACAAAACATTACAATAATCTGGATGAAAAAAGGTATGAAATAAGTCAAGAGTTGTCAAGAGTTACTGTTACATGACTGAACAGAATTTACAAGCAGGAAATTATGTGACATCCACTGCTGACAGGCAGGCCTCTGAATTTGTAACATACAGCCGAGTGTCATCAGCATAACAGTGAAAATTCTTTCTATAACTGCATAATATGCATATATGTCTGTCTCTCTCCTGTTTCTCTCCTCTCTCTCCTCTCCCTCATCTCCTTTGCCCCACCCAACTGGTCAAAGGCAGATGACCAACCCTCACCCCTAGAGCAAAGGGTCTGGTCCTACGGTTTTCTGCCTGTTAAAAGGCAGTCTTTTCCTCTGCCCCCGTCGCCAAAAGGCTCTGGCTCATGCTTGTACTTTTTGGGTCTCTGTAATGTTAAGGAGTTTTGGTCTCAGACCCTGCTCCCTATTTGAAAAAACGTGTCCCTGAGATAACTTCTGTTATGAATTGGGCGCCTATACAAAATAAAATGAATTGAATTGAATATACCTGTGGTGCCAAAAGGTGAAAGCAGAGGGCCAAGAACAGAGAATTTGAGTCACTACTAAGTAACATGTTATTTATCACTTTGGTAAGAGCAGTTTCAGTGGAATGACCCTGAAAGCAGACTTTAAAGGATCAGAAAGATTATTATTAAGTAAATGGACCAAAAGTTGTTCAGTCTAGAATGGAAGGTTAGAGACCAGTCTGTAGGTACAGACCCAGCATCAATGTTTTCTTTTTTTTCACTTTTACAGTTTGATTTTTGTTTAAAGATTCAAAGATTACATTAACTTTGTAAGCGCATTTACAACAACAAGGCAAACCTTTCACACAGACATTTCCTTTGTGTATGCCTCACTTTTAATAACTTTGTTTAAAGGTCCAGTGTGTAGGATTTGGTGGCATCTAGAGGTGTAGCTTACCGTGTTATTTTCAGTTGATTATATAGTAATAAAAACATACCTATGAATATCCCTCTGGGATGTAACTGGTCCATTCTAGTTTAGTTTGGCACACATTTACATGTTTAGCTTTAGTCACATGGTTTCATGTTGTGATTCGTCATATGTAATGGATGCATATTTAGCCGAAATGAAAATGTTACAGTTTATGTTATGTTAAAATACATTTTAGAACTGAAGGAGCAGCAATTAAACATAGGCTACTATTTAATTTTAGTCTGTAGACACGTAGTGAAGTCAACATCTAACAAACATGAGTATGTCTAGAGATTGTAAAAAATATATTCAGCATGTTTCTTTGGTAAAGTGTCACTGTAAATATATACTAGACAGAAAGGCTTATAATCTTCTTCTCAGAAAAGTGTTCATTGTTTCTCATTCACTAAAACTTGACTCAGAGCTTTTGAAAATAACAGATGACAGTTAGACTTTACATATTTAAGTTGTACTCTTTAATTATGTCCTACAGCCCTATCTTTACATATCCAATGTCTTACAGGTTGCCATTTTATGAGCATATATCAAACACTATCCCACATGGTCCAAGCTCTGCTAATACACAGAGGCTTAAAGGAAAGCACTAATTCAACGTACAGCAGCTTAGCTTGGCCCCTGATAACCTCTTAACCAAACAAAAGCCCTATCCATGCACAATGAGTCTTGCTGTGACGGATGTGGGTTAAAGTTACCTTATGCTCACATTTTAAAAGGCTACTGAATTAACCTCGCTGACAAAAAAATGCCTAAGAGAAACCCTTCCCCTTCCTGCCAGCATGTTTTAATCAACTTTTACCTCTTTGTTCCTTTGACATTCATACATCTTCTGACAGACAAAATGCTCTTTTGAAGATCACAGGGACCAAATGTTTTGTCTTTCTGGGGAAATTCCTGTAAAACCATGTGATGAGCAAACACTTTTTGGAGCACAGAAGATCTTTTAACCAGGCATGCAGCAGTGAATACCTCCTCTGTGGGCTTTTTCCCCCTGCACTTGGAGGCTGTTATTGGAAACCATGTTTGCAGGCTCTGATTGTTTATTTTGTCCTCCCTTTTTTTGTGAGACGTTCACATGACAATGCTGTTGGTATGATAGACAAAAGCAGGCCAGAAATTCCACAGGAGCACCACCAACTGCCAAGACGATGGATGCATTACACAGCAAATTACAGTTTGGTACAGGTTTGTAAAACAGAAGAATGTAACAATGCTTTTGTTTGTACCATGAATAATTTAGAGCCTAACTTAAAGGGGCAATCCACCGATTTTACATATGAGGATGAGTTTACTCGTCATGAGAAGGACACATTGTAAATGTGTTATAGACGGAAACATAACACTGCCCAGATTAAGAATTATGAATATAATGAGGAAACGTAACATAACCAGCAAGGTGCAAAATTTGATACTGATCATATCAGTAACATTTTCACTGACAGCACTTATGTTTACCATCAAGAGGAAAACAACTCATATGAGGTGTTCTGTGAACTCCTCAGGACATATCATACAGTGAAATAATTGTTCCGAACGGCCACACTAGTAGGCAACTAGAATAGCTTTTCAGACAGTCTCTCCTAGAACACATTCATGGTGTTGCACTGTGAAAAAAGCAAGGTAAAGAGAGAATTTCAAACCTTGCTTACTCTACTTTCTCACCAATGCATCTGACCAATCACGACATGAAGTTGGTGTCGGATTGTTGGTTTGGGAAAGTTAGAAAAATTGTCAGAGGGAGCACCCCCAATTCTGTCATGTGTCTGGAGGGGGTTCAGGTTAACTTCTAGCAGACATAGTTGGAAAACAGGTGTGTGGCTTGGGTTTAAGATTATACACTTTTTCTCAGAAATCCTGTATCACAATAACTTTTGGAATTGGTGTACGGCCTTGTTAAGGTTCTGGGAAAGATCGTGTTCATGGAAAATAATATATAGTTGTAGAATTAATAGCAGAAACAGAACTGTTTATTCCTGATCCACCCACCTATGCACCATGACCTCTATACCCTCACTGTATGTAGGGCACGAAACTATACCTTCTGAGTGGGCATTAGATGTAAATCGTGAAATGCAGAATCGTCCAGTAGGGACATTTATTTATTTTTCGCAGGTTCAACAACTTTATGGACACACAGTACTAATAACCCATTTAAAATGTGCACACAAACAACCGTAACCATTCAGGATACAGCAGTTCATCCCTCACACAGACTTGTGAGTGTGTGCAGCAGGTGTGAAAAGGAGCCGGTGGCGTATCATATTACCCTTTGACAAGTTACTCAACAACAACAGGCCCCCCCTGTTATTGTTGGGTCAACAAAGTTGGAGGAATTCTTTAGGATTAGAGTGGCGTGGAGAACATGAGTGTGAGTGCCATGCGCTCGCTGTGTGTCGTACTGAGGCCCACCTCTTTGACTTACGGCAGTGTTGGGGTTAACTCCCCCCTTACTCCCAGGCTGGCCTGGGGTCAGGGGGGAAACAGGCAGCCAGGCATTCTTTCTGTGTGTGTGTGTGTGTGTGTGTGTGTGCGTCTGTGTAGCTGTAGCCCACTCTGTGCTCTTTGACTCCGCTGGCCTTATAAGGCATCCAGTGCCATGGCAACGGCAGGGCTTGAATAGCAGTGTCAAATCCCTCAGCACACAGACACACGCTCACTCTCCCTAAAGGAGGGAGCGAGGCAGAGAGACACAGAGAGGGGATTGAGAGGAGCAGGAGAGGAGGCTATCTCTGGGCTGCTCTCCACTGCGGCGTCTGGCTTTCACTAAAAGGTCTATGACTGTGTTTTTCCTGCGCTTGTTTGCCTAATTTATTCCTGCCCGGGCCAGCAGAAAGAGAGGCGGAAAAGAAGAAGGAAAAAAGGACAGGGCTGAACAGTACAGAGTGCAACAGTACACCCCGACTTGCTGACAGGGAATGCAGAGAGTTTCTGGCCTCTGGTTGTTACTGCTGGATGGACAAGCACTGACAAAACAAGAGAAGGAACACTTTGTGAAGCTTTGAGAGAGGAGGCGAGATTTCTCAACTCTGCTTTTGTTTTGGCTTGTTCTTTTTCTCTGTGACATTTGAGCCTCTGACACCACAGACTGAAGAGCTGGAGGAGCCAAAAGAAAACATTATTTCACTGCAGACACAGAAGAGGATTTATTTCATAAACTTTGTTGCTACAGAAACCACAGAGACATTATTCAAGGAGAGAAAGGAATTGTATTATCCTTCTCACCACTTCTTATTTTAATATCAAGTGTTGAGTCAGTTTCAGCTGGATCTTTTTGGCTATTTATATGGCACAGAGTTGGTTAATGAGCAAGAAAACTTGTATATAAAAGCTGAAGTGGGACTATAGTCATCTCCTCTAAGAATACCAAAGAAAGAAACAAAGCCCATTTTACAAAACTCCCCTTAAGTGTTTTTTTCTTTTGGGACATATGACTGAGCATTTCCAGAGCAAAAATAATTTTTTCCTCTCCTCATCACTATCACCTCTGCTTCTCTAACAGCCCCGACAAGTCAAGAGTGAGTCTGGACTAGAACTGCCTCAGATCAGCAGATAACACCTCTGCACGGCAGGAACTGGTTGGACTAGTTTATAAGTTGGAGCAGAGGGCAGGGCAGTTTAACCCTGCTTGAAGGAGAGCTGTGTTTTATTTTCCTCCCACTTGTTTGTCCTTTTGGGAGAAAGTTGTGCGCTGAGAGAGGGGCAAGGCTTCTTTTTCGTTTGGAGAGCAAATCTGTTTCTGTTCCTCGTCACCATGCTTAGGGATAGGTGAGGTGTTGTTTTTTCTCTACTTATTCCAGGGGGGGAGACAGAGAGAGAAAGTGAGAGGGAGGGAGAAAGAGAGAAGGAGTCAAAGTGTAATTTATTGTTTCCTGTGAAAAAAGCCAGGCTGCACCCTTTTCTCCTGCCTGAACTCTGAACCACTCAATGTGTGTCTGAAGTTTTCTCAGACCTCAGGAGCCATTGATCGGAGGTCAGGGCAGTGAACACGGGGGTGAAAGACAAGAACAGAGAGAGCAGCGGGATTACTGAAGAGAGAGAGACTGGGAAGGACCTCCAGGTCATTACAACCAGACGGCAAAGAGGAGAAAGGTCAACACGGGAGAGCCGGGACGACTTTTTATCCCACTTTTAGATCTTCTTGGACAAAACCAATCCTTTAATACAAACCTGGATCCCTGTTTTCTTGTCTGGAATCAGTTTTTAGACTTTTAGAGTAGTTGGAAGCTTGGGGACAGGGCGGGTCTGTGTATGATCCACTCACAGGGCTGCGTGTCTCAGAGAATATGGCCATGGTGAGCGGGGGATGGGGCAACCCCAACGGGGACACTAATGGACTGGGGGAGAAGGCTTACCTGAGGAGGGAGGAAGAGGAGGGCTCGCCTCAGGCTGGGAGCAGCGATGTGGACGTCGGGGATGAGGACAAGGCCTGCGTGGTGGACTGTGTGGTGTGCGGGGACAAATCCAGTGGGAAGCACTACGGCGTGTTCACCTGCGAGGGCTGCAAGAGCTTCTTTAAGAGGAGCATCAGACGAAACCTGAACTACTCCTGCAGGTAAGGGCTGCTGGGAAATTCACACTGAATATAGTCTGAACAGTAGATGAAGATATAAAAAACACACACAGACACTCTTCTTGTTTAACCACATTGTCTTCTTGGTAATACTTTACTTTAAATTTTGCTTTGCGTTTAATTGATGGTTTATAACACACTGCAGGATCGTTATAAGCTGATATAAGTGTTTATTAATGAACAATTATAACTTGTGGGCACCCATAAGTGGAGGCAGGTAATAATGTTAAGATGTGTCTTTAAACGAGTGAGTGAGTGACAGTTAAAAATGTCCTCATATCTGCATCCAACTACATTTTAGTGTGTTATAATCCATGTATTAAATGTTTGTATAGTCGCTTATAAAAGTGTGTGTCTTTTTTTATAAGCCATTATGTAGTCATTCACATTCATGAAGAGAGAGCAGAATAGTCCATTCCTCACTCCAGAATGATATGTTCCAACCTTGGATATGTCTCACAAACAGCCCTAGGAAAAAAAAAAAGAAAAAGAAATGAAAGCCCTGAAGGTCAGTCATGTGAGGATGGATTGCCTCAGAAGGTCAACATTCCCATTATTCTTCACCACAGGAACACAATGTTGAAACTCAATTCTCTGCTCTCACTAAGACTACTCACAGCCTCTGAACATAGTTATTTCTTCCACATAATAATGCACTAACTCTGAATGGAAGGTGTCTTTTTATTAATTTTGTCATGTCCGGGTCTGAAAGGGGTTCTCTGTGAAATGTTAGCAGACCTCGTCCTGCTGTAAAAAGGCAACAGAAGGGCGTGTAGGGCCGATGATTTACAAAGGTCACAGCCTTGATAGCTTTTCAGCCACACTAGCTCATACAGTTCACTCATCACAGGGGTCAGTGAGAGAGAGAGAGAGAGGGATAGAAAGCACTGAGTAACATCATGTGTCAGAGGACAATCAGCTGTGTGTGTTGTTTTTTTTTATCTTTGTGAGGACAGGTTTGTGTGTTTGACCTTCACACTGATGACGTGTGGCTCCTCGACACTTGTTCAGAGAGACGGATAAAAGCGTGTCATTTCTAACCGATGATGGTTGATTTTGTTGGCTGAAATGGTAACTGTCTCTGGCAGGGTTGACCAGCAGTGTTAGAGTTGGTTCATATTTAAAGAAGAACCATGTGTTGCTGGCTAAATACTGGACATCATGCGAGAAAACTGAGGCTAAAGCATAAAAGAAATGTCATTCACACCTTGTTTGGCTGCTTAACGTACACACTTCTTTGTATTTTTAAAAGGTACGTTTTCAAATTGAATGCCACTAAAGAAATGACTAAATGGTGAGGGCTAATGAATGTGTTTGCCAAACATAGCACTATCTTAGGAAACACTGGCTGAGGTTGCTCGAGTGAAAACTCCAAATCCTATGAAGAGCAAGACAGGGCTGCTAATGTTAGCTTAAACTCTGATAGCATCCTGGAAGTTGTGAATTGGGCCTTTTGTTAATGCAACCCACAACTACACAACTAATGTAGACACATCATGTACTTCCCTGCCAAAAGTTTCACATTTAACTGTAATATATCACTGACTTCTGCTCAAACGGGTGCAGCCTGTGGGGGAAAAGTACCAACACCTGTCCTCAGTTAAACTCTGTGAACTTGGGCCTACCCACATGGGACCATTTGAGCTGCTGATGGGCGTTTAATAAAAATAAAACATGGAGAAGTGTTGGGCTCCGTGTGTGATATTATTGTACTGCAGAAATAATAATGAACTCATTGTTTAAGTCATTCCTCAAACGGCAAACATTCACTGGTTACAGCTTCTTTAATGTGAGGATTTGCTCTAAAATGAGATAAGCTGAAAATATGATGCTGTCACCTTGGGGTCCAGGTACCTGCGATGGACAATTTTCTGACGTTTCAGACTGTATATTTTGTGATTAATTGTGCTTTAGATGATTAACTGATAGAAACCAGCTGGTGAACAAGGGACAGTTTATGTTGGAGGTGTTTCGGGAGGCATCACCTGTTCACGTCCATATGCAGAGGATGCAGTGATTTTAGTGACATGAATTATAAATGTAGCTGAATCTGAAGACACAGAGAACCTGAGAGCAAATACCTGCTGTGCACTGCAGTATACAAGTATAAGTATACTGAAAACACACTCTGTATGTGTGTGTGTGTGTGTGTCCTCTGGCACATTCTTCTCACAGCCTCTGTCTCACACACACTCAACGGACACACTGACTGAGGTGTTTCTGAGGGAAAAAATAATGAAGTCATTAAACCACAAATCTAAATCAAGAAGTCTAAAAGTGTCTCGTGGTAACTAAGCTGATGTCTTCATGACTGACGTGGGTGGTGTTTCCCAACAATAAATCTTGACATTGCCATCCCTACAGCTACACTGCTGTCATGGTTATAAATACATAAATCACAAAGTGTAGATGTAAGCTGCACAATAGAAATGTTTGATACTTTAAATCGGTTAAGTATGAAGACGGAGCTTAATGTCCAGTAACCATAGCCTGTATTATTTAAAATGGACATATGAAAATGTGCAAAGACGTGGGGCGTGGGTGGAGCTGAGGCAGACTCAATGAAGCCTGGGGACGTAAAACAATAAATAAAAAGAAAAGAAGAGACGTGAAAACTGATAACAAAATAGGGAAGTGACATTTCAGCCAGAAGAGAGTATATTAGTCATTAGAGAAGGATGTGTCTATAGGTCTGTTTTTATTTCTTGTAGTTTTTTTTTTTGTATAAACGTGTTCCTTGTGTTAATAAGATGTTTTATGTTTGTGTGAACAGAAAGAGCTGTGTAACATGATCCTGGACTGCTGCGCTCAACAGAGGACCTACGAGAAGTTCTTTGGTCTGCTGGCTGGGGTGAGACACACACACACTCACTCACAGCAGAACACACTTGAACCTTGGACTTGCTCGACATATTAGATTAATTCAGTTAATTTTAAAAATGTTCATTTAAAAAACACTACTTTGAATCAAAACATAATGTAGACGATAGCCGGCTACATTAGTCTCCACAGTCCCATGAAGAGTGGCACTAATAAACTGGCACTTGGCAAAGTTTGTCAAGAACACAATCAGTGTTTTTAGTGTGCAGACTTTTTTGGTCCTTCACTGCTGAAGCTGATTATCAAACTGGATGCAGTTTAATTTAATATAATTCATTTAATAAAGTTAAGATTTTATTTTTCCACCATGTTGCCCAGCCCTGATAGGCACACACAGAAACTGGCGATAGGCACACACACAGATGGCTCTGTGTAACCTCGCACTCCACACTGTCATCTACTCTAGCATACTGTGTACATAAGTGTGTGTGCACTTCAATCACACTATTGTTTTATTTTTTATTTGTACTCGCACAAAAGAAAAATCCATCCATGCATAACAAGTGACACAGGATCTGGTCTAGATTGATTTGCTGTTCCGTACTGATCTGGACCTTGGAGCTGACACATCTGAGATACTGTTAAACTACATGAAACTCCATATGGAAGAACTGAAAGCACTTGTTAACACGTGTGTGTGTGTGTGTGTGTGTGTGGTGTGTGTGTGTGTGTGTGTGTGTTGTGTGTGTGTGTGTGGTGTGTGTGTGGTGTGTGTGTGTGTGTGTGTGTGTGTGTGTAGAGGTTCTGTCTGCTGAAGAAGGAGTACATGGAGAGTTTTGAGGGGATATTTTCAGAGCAGTACGACACAATTCACCGACTGGAGACCAACAAACTGAGGAACGTGGCTCGGCTGTTTGCTCACCTACTCTACACAGACTCTGTCCCCTGGAGTGTAAGGACCGACGCATGTGCACACACACAGACAGACATTAAATCCTTTAACACACATGAAGCTGATTGTTCTAAATGATTTTCTTCATTACTAATAGTACCCCTCTTTCTCTCTGCTGTCTTTTGTCTCTTGACCAGGTGTTGGAGTCCATCAGGATGAGTGAGGAGACCACAACGTCGTCCAGCAGGATCTTTGTGAAGATCCTTTTCCAGGAGCTCTGTGCCTACA